AGGAGGGCCGCTGGGGCTTCGGACGGCCTGCACCACTGGCTGCCCCCCAGCCTGGATGGCAGCTCCATCCGCTCTGAGCGCTCATTGCCCCAGCGGGACGGGCTGGACATAAGCCTCTCCGCCGGCGCACCCACAGCCCCAGGGACCCTGGTACCCGCGCCAGCCGCAGAATGACCCCCTCTGACCGGCCGTTGCCCTTCCTAAGAGCTGTTTTGCAGACGTTTTCTTTTTTAAATAATGGACTCTAATAGGAAACCCAGCCGAAGATGGTGGAGAAAGAAGACGCAGGGAAAGGTATTTTATTGGCTGGTGCGAAACCCCACGACAGTGAACAAAACTGACAAAAACCACTCTTTGTGGAATTGACGTCCTGGTGGGGGCACAGGAGATAGTGGCGTGAAGAAATAATGGAGACAGTTCCAGTGACAATAGGTGCTGCGATGGTGTCAGAGGAGGCCTCGCTGCAGAGGTGGTGACATGTGCTGTGAACTGAGACATGATTGAACACCTGAAGCAAGAGCGTTTCCTGTGAGGGGACAGCAGGTGCCAAGCCCCCGAGCGGGGGCGTGTCCGTGTGTCTATGACAAGCAGGGGCTCAGGGGTGGCTGGAGCAGTGGTGGGCGTGAGAGGGGAACACCAAGGCGGGGAGGTGACTGGCCACCTCACTCAGGGCCCGTGGGCTCAGGGGAGGACTGTACTTTTGCTCTAAGTGAGGTGGGAGCCATGGAGAGTTCTCGGTGAGGGAAGGGCTTGACTTGGTTCAGTGTTCACAGATTTCTGTGTGAGGCCAAGGTGGTAGTTGGAAGAACAAGGTGGTGGCTGCACTGGCCACGGAGAGTGATGATGGGGACTCTGACCACGTGGGTTCTGGATAGATTTTGGAAACAGCAGACAGAATTACTGAGGAATTGAGTGTGGGAGCGAGAAAGGAGTCCAGGACAGCTCTCCCTCCGGCTTAGAGGCGAGAACACCAAAGACAGGGCACCCTGCAATGGGACTCTGGGAGACTCAGCCAATTCTGAGCTGAAACAAGATTTGAGCGTGTGTCAGATCCTTCATAAAGAATAAAAATGTAATAAAATAATACGACCAATTACAGCTTATTGTGCCTGGCTAGTCATCCCACAGTGGTAGGTCCAGGACACACCTTTTACTCACCCTCACTGCAACCTGGCAAGGTGAGTTTCCCCACCCCCGTTTTACAGGTGAGGGAACTCTAAGCAGTGAGTACCTTGCGCTCGCCCAAGCTGCCAGGCTCCTAGGCCTGCAGAGGTGCAGGCTGGGTTTCTGGCTCCTCCGGAATGGGGGGCAGTTCCAGAGCCCCGTTTGTGCCCATAAAAGGCTCCAGACTGCTGGCCAAGGTCCCTGGCTGTCCCAGTCGCATTCCTGACTCCTATGAGGTGGGGCCGATTGGGGAACTTGTAACTCAGACTGTCACACGCCTCCTGTCGGGAGACGGAGGAACTGCAGGCAGCTGCAAAGCGTGTTTTGGGGGCACTGACCCAGCCTAGGGGGCCCGAGTCTCTGCGGGCCATGCTCAGGCCCTCCCGACAGGCCAGGCACATAGGAAACCAACCTATTTCTTGGAACACAAACACACTCACGCCTGGGGTCATGCCCAATTCCCAACCCAGCCTAACACTCCTCGCCCCAGGCTCCTTTAATTTTCCAGGGGAGCCTGAAGCTCACCCCATTGTTCAGTTGTTTAATGATGTGATGGCAGATCTATTTGTTTGTTCACATTTTACAAAATTCAAAAAGTGTTAGTTACCTCATTGGCCATGATCACTGTGGAGGTTCCTGGGAAACTTCCAGAGCTATCTATACTAATAAAAGAGTAACATGCTAATTAGACCAGGAGACCTTCCGGATGTCCTTCTGGACAAAGCCGGGGGCTTGGCCAGCCTGCAAACTGCCCCCAAACGGCCCCTCAGCTCCTCACCCAGGCCGGCCACACCCCCCGCAGGGACCCTCACCCCAATGGGGGCATGGCCAGCCTGCAGACAGCCCTCCCCTTACCCAGGCTGGCCCCGCCCCCCAGCGGAGACCCCCACCCTGAAGGGGGTGTGGCCAGCCTAAAAACTGCTCTCAGCCCCTCACCCAGGCTGGCCATGCCCCTTAAGGGGACCCCCACCCTGATCCGGGACCCCCTTCAGGGCAGACCAGCCGGCCCCCACCTGTGCACCAGGCCTCTATCCATACTAATAAAAGGGTAATATGCTAATTAAACTGGGAGACCTTCTGGGAGACCTTCCCAGACATCCTTCCAGACAAAGCCATGGTGGCGGGGTGAGGCAGAGGCGGTTAGGGGCGATCAGGCCAGCGGGGGGCGGGGGCACTTCAGGGCAAGCAGGCCTGCAGGGGTG